AATCCATTACCTACGGTCGCCTCTATTTAAACCCATAGTCTCTGATCGAGATCCTTCACGAACATCCATCGCGACTCCGCTTCGAGACTCCCCTGGACGCCGCTTCGAGACGCTCCAGACCTGTCTTTATGCGCCCGCCTCTCGGCCGTCAACAGCGATGATTCACCCATCAGCGCCGTGCGTACGTCCAGAAGGCTCTCGACCGCCATAGGCGTCGTACTGGGGCGGCATAAGGGTGTATTTCGTAACAGTACACTGATAGATGAAACTAGGCAGGCTTCATCACTAATAAATCCAGGAGACCGTTGTTTATTTTTGGATTAAACCAGTTAGAATAAATCATTCTTCCTTTCATAATCAGATGACAAGTTGAATATGACAAGTCAACTTACTGTGAAAGCCTTCTTAAAGATGTATGGGAGTTTCTTTCATAACTTATCTGACATTTTCAATAGCCTTGGGAGTTTGTTTTATTAATGTGCAGCTTCCTGATTTTATCTTGATCCTCACGAAATAATTTTTTCACATAATTGAGTGTCCCTAAAAATTGGCTTCAAGGACAGCAACACCAGGGAATTTTTCATGAAAAAAACGATGTAAACACTTTTAATTTCAATGAAAAGTAAAACCGACTTTTTGCTGGTTATCATTCGTTGATTCATGTATTCATTCATCGTTAAAGATCAATGGGAAAGATTTATTATTAGTTGTAGAAACAAATAGTGGTCCCGAGAAGGAGTGATTTTTGGTAATGCTTCAATCATGGTGATCGACTTTTTATTCTGACGGATTATTGGTCATTACCACAACGATTTCACATTGTTTATTAGAACAAAAATAAGAGCAATTTAGAATGATATTACCTTTTCGAAATAAATGTTGAAAATGTCATTGACCAGCAATACAGGCTTTAGCACGTTGCAACATGTTTGCACGGATATACTTTAAAAAACTTCAAGAGATCCACGAACTGTAGCCACTTCCACTCGGTATTGAAGCTCTTCGAGTGTTTCTGGACAATGTTAATTTCCAGAAACTAACTGTTTCATCCAAGCCCACAGACAAAAATCACACAGATTGAGATCGGGTGAACATGGAGGCTAAAGCTACTGGACCGTTTCTACCGACCCAATGGTTAAGAAAATGGTTATTTAACCATTCAGTTACTGGCTTAGCAAAATGTGGTGGTGCTCCATCATGCTAGCACCACATGCGAACTTGTTCACCTAGAGGTACTTCCACATCTAGCTGCTCTTCCAACACATTGTTTAAAAACTCACGGTACTGTGCCGCGTTTAGTCTCTTTGGTCCAACTAAGCGGTCATTTATGATACCGCCACACACATTTATGGAAAATCGTCGTTGAAATCGTACTTCTTGACGAGGGTGTGAGTTTTCATCGAAATAAATGTGAGTGTTGTGGCTGTTGAAAACAGCACTGCGAGTGTATCCTGTTTCATCCGTAAACAGAATGCAATTTAAAAAGTTAGGGCGTTCTCGACATTGCTGAACAACCATTCGCAGTAAATTACACGACATGGAAAATCAGCGGGCTCCAAAGCTTGCAATTTTTGAACGTGATATGGATGTAGACCTTATTCTTTTAATGTAAGATGTATCACAAAATGTGAAACTCCAATTTCAGCTGCAAGTCGGCAAGTGCTGATGTCGGGCTCTTCTTCGATGCGTTCCAAAATTTGTTCTTCAGCTTGCAGTATTCTTTCATGGCCAAAATCGTGAGTCTCAGGCTCGAAGGTACCATGATCTCGGAGATGCTGTACCACTGACGTAAATGTTCGCGCACACGGAATCGTGCGATTTGGAAAGCGTTCGATCCACAATTCACGGGCCAACCTGACGTTTCCATCAGCCACACCATAAAGCCATGTCGACACGTGTACAAAAAAAATATTTTCAAAAAAGTTGAAAAAAACGAAAGCTCTATTTGTCCTCAATTCCTGTGGCATTAGTTTTAAGAGTAGTAATTTGGAAGGAATGTTGTTGTAACAATTGAACTGAAGCATCTCGTAAGTCTTATTTTGTAGAATTTTCAGTTATGTCAACCATAAAGGCTTGTAGAATATTCACATTGAAATGAAATAAAACCTACCAAAATCATCCAACCTTAACTTAATAGATTAACTGATATCTTTAGACATACACATTTAGGCATATTAACTTTGTAAGCAAAATATATAACTCAAGCTTGATTTACAGCATTGTGACAGTGAAAATTTAGAAGACAACTTAATCCAACAATTTTTATCATAACACCAGAAAGTCGTCATTACGCTACTCTTTTGGAGGATACAATTTGATTGATTAGTTAAATACGAAGACATAAAACAGGTTGTTATTACCAATTAATAGACGGAATTGTGTGACAGAAATAAAAAAGTATTTGTCTACATACCTTTTTGCCTTCGGTCAAAATTTTTTTAAATATTGAAAATTACTATTTTGCTATGTCCAGTGTGTTTGTAGACGTTGTAATTTTGTGGGAGCACGTGCCCTCATACCCCCCGGCACCAGCCGCCCCTGCTCTTTTGCCACAACATTTTAACAGCATGAGACATTGCTCACGTCACAACGTTGAATGTTTAAAATCAGCTCAAAATGTAATTTTAAACTGATAACTCACTTCATCGAATTTGTAAGTATAATAGATACATAAAAAAAAGTTTATAACAACATGATCTTCAGATTCAATTTGTTTTCTTCCTCTTGTAAAGCGTGTAACAATCAAATAAGGGAAACAGCTTCCACACTGTTTAATATTTTGTGGTTTTAGATATGAATCAAACTCCTAAGATATTAACCGTAATCGACTTGATTGCTGTTGAAATACTCATTACAGACAGCAACGCCAATTTAATTTTCAGCTCGACGATCGTAATAAAATTGTTTGTAATAAACCTCACCACGTTCTAGTTTGCGGTTAGGGTGCTGACGAAGTTTATGTCGTTCCAAAGCCGTCTTGATCCCGCCACATCTGAAGAACGGCCATCATTTTGCAAACAATATAACGCTTGTCAGTTTTACTGTTTCGAAATTATAAGTTATGTCTTTTATAAGGGAATTTCTGGGGCTTATTTTATCGCGTCTTGACTCGTAGCGATTTGTTCTCGTTAAATGGAGCTCGGTCGATATAACTTAGGGGATGATTTTTGTTGGCGGGATCGGCAACGCCAACATTTGAAAGGAATTTATTTAATGCCACCAAACCACTAAAACTTTATTATGTCAAACTAACCAAACACCGTTATTGATTTTGCAGGAAAATCTAAAACGTAATACTATAAATAATAATAATAATTATTATTAAAACCCAATTTATATATGTATTTGTGTATGTACGATGTCCAAATTTCTAATTTCACCGCTTACAGTTTCTTATTTTCTTGTTAATAAAATACTTATTATTTTTACAGAACATCATCTTTACTTTTCAAATTAAAAAAATATTGCAAATATACAGTGTGTCCTTAAAAATATCTAAAGAATGAAATCTACAAAAACGCTCAAATAAGTATTTTAACAGCAACATACAAATTTTTGGCTAATGGCCTCAGAGTTATGGCATTGGAATTAAGATTATCATGTTCGACTGGTCTAAGAACTTATAGTTGATTGTTTTATAACAACCCCAAATTGCTTTTAAAAAATATATTTTCTAGTCGCAACCATTCAGTTTGAACACAAAGAATGTTTATTAATTCATATATTGTACTTAATTTCAGCAACAAAATGTAATAGGTAGGTTAACACTAAATGTTCTCAGAAAGACTTATGATGAGGTAACAGGTAAAAACTAAAAAGCCTTTAGTCTCTTAAAAAATTGATACCCATCAAGACACTAACAATTTTAATTCGTAACTAATAGTTACATAAATAAGCACAAGTAGTTCCGTGTAGGAAGTCGCTAGTTTTTTGCTTTTAGTTTATTATAAATTTTGGCAAAACACTCTAGTCTGTGCCAGAGCCAAGGTATCTGATTGCTTCATTAGGTAGATACGCAAGGAGGAGCCGGTCTTTTTTATTTCCGGAATTATTGTGTTGGCAAAGACAAAGAGATAAAACTCGAGAGCCCTTTTTTACAGTTTTTACTGAATCAGCTCGAGTTTTTCATGAAGAAACAAAGTAGGTACAAAGCACCTCAATAAAATTTCCCAAATGTCGTGCGATACAGTGGTTGGCTGTAAGTTAACGGTCTCTGATTTGTATTCTTGTAGCGGAGCGGCAGTTTCACAGGCTACTTGATCTCCTCTCACCCCTCCGGGGTAAGTTTTCCCCTTAAACCCCTGACGAGCGGGCGGAATTTTCATTCCGCGTCATTTGACGACGGTTTCTTATAAAGAATGTTAAAATTGCCATCATCCGTCGCGGAGCCAAATTAGTGTAATTAATTTTTTCGGGGGAAATGAAACCTGTATAAAAAGATAAAATTGAGACGTTACATAACATAACTAGCACCGTAGAAAATCGACTTGATTGAAAAGTACACCTGCGTGTAGGACCAGACAATTACCAAATTTGACAATGGGGCAAATTGTATAAGAAGTGGACAATGCGGCGCACCTGCTAAAGGCTTTGATTAACTAGTGTAAATACACATAATATTTTATCAAATTTATCTGAACCTAAACCGTTGATCGTACAGGGGGTCTACCATAATTATCATGATTACATGAACAAATATGTTTTCTTATTAATCCACTTTTCTCTAAAATGAGTCGTTCAGAGATAGGGCCTAATTCAGGTTAAGTTTTTTTTATGGTGATTACAAAACATGAATTTCCATAGATCTCCTTTATTTACAACACAATGCGTAAATATTTAGTATTTACTTAGCTATATATTTCATTCAGCGCAAATTCTGTAGTGTAAATAAGTTTAAAGATAGCTCATGGAAAGTCCAAATGACTATGAGTTTCTTGATAATAGGTATAACCTTTTGACCCATTCGATAAAAAATTAATTATATATGGAATATGTGAGTATTATAACAGTAAATTACATAGTATTGTGACTTTGATCTTGCAGAATGGATTTCACTTTTTATTTTGTTTTAACCCTTTTTAATTTAGCCTGGTGTGCACAAAAAGTATGCTTTAACGACATTTCAAACGTGGACACATCATGTACTCCCGGTATAGTAGCATATGTATTTTTTTAATTAATATGGTATTATAATACACTTTCTGTTTTAGACTATTATTGGAGAGATTTTTATGGCAAAATTCCACCAGACGCGATCGAAGGTGGGAGGACAGCGGCTGGAACACCATTTTATGTCGCTCAAGTGTACATCAGAAATTTTGAACTGTTGCCAGCTATGGTTTTTCCTAACAAACCAGAGGCTATTACAAGCGCTTATAATAAAGAGCTTAAACCTACCACCCACATAAAGGTATCCTCATCTATTGTCATTACCTCTAACTATAAACGAATTATCGATGTATTTACAGGTACTATGTAGCAAAAACAAAGATAACTTTAAGTGGGTACCTACTAGAAGCGAAGATTTAAGCCTACTTACAAACACCCATCTTGTTGTTGGTGGTAATGAAGTTGGCCAAGTACTGTACATTGGAAGAGTTTTTGATGAAACATCCACAGTTTTGGGAAAAATATTCAAACATAACCAACCCAACAAGGGAATATGGGTTCCAAGTCAAGGACACCATGCTAATTATTTCAATTATGAAGTCTTGACTTACGTCTGTCCTAATGATAAATTGGCTATAGAATCTGAATAAAACTTATTGTCACTGTCGTCCGTTATTCATAAATTCGTTTTCTTTGATAAATTGAAGCTATGTGTCGACTCTTAAATTTTAGGTAAAATGCGTATGTTTCAAGTGAGTTTTTCATAACAAAATTTTGTTTAGACGTTATCAACTTTTTAGCAACAACACATGCATATATTAGTTTAGATAGGCACATTGTAATACTAATAATAATAGTCCCGTATTTTAAAAATTTCAAGAAAATGGTGCCGACCGATGATATAATAAATTGCTTCATTTATAATGTTTTTAAGTCATCCTACACAAGCAATTTAAAAAATTGATCGAAGTTTATTTCGACAGAATTTCCCTGCGCCTGGAGTACATTCTAACAAACCCCGCTTCTTTAAAAAGAAATTGTTTTGTGATAACTTCTGTAAAACACCTGCGCCGTGAGAGTACAAATGCCAAAAGGACGCCAGCCGCACAAGTGCGGACGATGTAAAATATATTTAAAGCACATAACCAATGGGAAATAATATCCCCTCAGTAATAATAACATGCTTAATTTCGAGTGTTTATGTTTATATATGTACTTCAACGATCAGCACTGTTAGACCCCACGTATCAACAGCCGCATGCAACTGTGTTGAAACAAGGCGCTATCTTATGCCTACATTTCAAGTGAGTTTTTCCATAACAAAGTTTTATGAAGATGTCATCAACATACATAATACATAAGTTTGTAATTGAACGTATGACTGCAGATCCAATACATAAACCATTACTCCATCGAGGTTTATCTCCTGTATTAATGGTAGAATGTTATTTTACTGTGCAATTTTTTTTTGCGGAAACTCGGACGTTTAGAGGAAAACTCAAAGCGGATTCGTACACCACAAGTATGGGAGTATATTAGCGTAAAACATTTAAATAATTTTAAAATAGAATCCTTTGAGATGACAACATCAAATTACTAGTGGAGGTAATTAGCCAAATTTTGGTTAGCATTTTACCATCTACATGATATTCCTAATGTACGTACAACATTTGACGAGGATCGGGCTAGTAGTTTCGGAGATTATCCGTCTAAGAGCCGTTTGACACGGGACTAATTTTCGTATGTTCTAAATTGTATGCAAGAAATTGGTACCAGTTTTAAATTCTTGTGTACAAGCAGGCGCGCGCATTCTATTTAGTACGAAAATTAGTCACGAGTGAAACGTCTCTAATGAAAGTCGACACAAATGACGGACAGACGGAAACGGGAGACCACGTTTTTCGTAGTCTTGGGGTCATGAAACGCCGAGAAAACAAGTGGCAACTTGGCCGATGGACCCGATTTCTATACTTTCTTAGCTTAGGTACTCTCGGAAACTAAAAATTATGAATGGATCGATGAACCACAAACATTCATAATATTTTACATACGCATTTCTTCAGCAAAATTTTGACATGACGTCATCAAATTTTTGGGAAGGATGGATAGAAAGGTACATTCGAGAAAAGACGAAAGTAGCCAGTACCGTACTTAGTTAGCATATGCGCTGAAAGTAAAAATACCTACGACTCTTGCTTGACCCCAAATTGTATTGTTCTTAAATTGCAACCTAGAGTTTTATAATGGGATTTCAAAAGTCATTAATCCTAATGAAACTAATTTTATGTTTTATTTTTAGTTAGCAATAACTAAAATTTCACTGTTTATGATTGTAGGTAAAACCATAATATATTGTTCTTTTCAGCATAAACACCAAAAGGATACTAACAAGTGTTAAAATTAAGTGAAAAATAACATTCACAGACTGCTCTGATATTTTATGGGAACCGGATTTTTACTGAGGCCCAAAAGTGAGTGATCATATTTTGTCTTAGGTAAGTTTTTTTTTTTCATAGTAAAAACAAATGTATTCACCTCTACTATGCAGTATTTTATTTGTAATCAATAAAAAATTATAATATGTAATTTTCCTCGAAATTATTAAAATTACCCAATCAAAATTAACTTTCCTATGAGTTCTATGAGTCAAAATAAAATTACATCATGCACCGGTAATCAGTTTACCCTATAAGGTAGAACGGAATGTGTAATTTTACCCTAGAATGTAATTTTACATTACTTTGTAAAAATACCTTTGGGGTAAAATTTCCATATTTTTTTACAGTGTATAAAATTTGATTTTACTATTTTCGTTTTGTGATAATTGATAACCGCTGTAAAGTAAAAACTAGAAGCATAAATAACACCCCTTGTCCTTCAGCAGTAGGTAATAGCAATCTAAAGCTCAAGTGTTCATTTATGTTTATACATCGAAAGAATGTTACGTAGAGGTTAGCTCGATTTGAATGAGTTTGTCTTCTCAAAACAAGGCTAAAATTATTAATTAAACCACAATCGAACAAAATGTTCTGATTATTATAATTCTTATTTTATCATTATTATATAAAGACGTGCGTATTCTTCACATTTTCGAGAAAATGGGGTGACTCGTTCTTAATTTAACCAAGAAAAATTTTGTGATGACGTCATCAACATGGATAATTCTAGTCACTAGTTATACTAATGTAAAAAAAAAGGAAAGTGCCAATTTCGGCATCGAATCACAATCGCAGTAGTGCAGGTCGCTATTATCTCCGATACAGCCACTGGGTCACGGAAACGTCATTATACCTTGCAAATGTTTTTGCGAAAATTTGAACGTTTAGCGAAAAAACTGACAGTGGATTTTTACACTACAAGTATATGAGTATAATTTCGTGTAGCATTAAAATCATTTTAGAACACCATTTATTGAAATGATGTCATCAAATTGTTGGTGAGGATGATTAGCCAAATTTTAGTTAGCATTTGACCATCTACATGATATTTCTAATAGATATACGTATAAAATTTGACAACAATTGGTCAATCAGTTTCGGAAATTACGTGATATTTAATGGATACAGACCGACAGAGAGACAGAAACAGGAGACTACATTTTTCGTACTGTAGGAGTCATAAAAGGTCGAGAAAACATAGTGGCCATTCGTCCGATGGACTCGATTACAATACTTCCTTCGTACGCTTTGACTAAAAAAGTATTTCATCTCACTAATCTCCACCGCCATTTTTGTTTTACTAAATTTTTAATGGAATTGTTTGAATTTTGAAAATTTAAAAATGATATTTAAAAAAATTGACGTGATTTTGACTTTATGTGTATCTAGATATTTAATTTTTTAGTAGTTAGAATTTGACAGTACGAAAACTACTAATTCCACCGTTAGAGTTGACAGTAGGTATGTACAAGATACATTATTACAGGAAACTCCAGTTTGAGGATAATACGAGACGCCTACAACGTGTGAATCATACTGAATTTTGTCGAAACGTTTGGTCGAACCAACGGTAATTTAACCTTTTGAGTTGGTTTGTAAATTAACATTTTTAGCTTTTTACTAGTAAAACTTGTCTGATTAGTGATTATTAAGGCCGCATATTTGTTTTTCATCTTTTAATTTGCATTTTTGTAAACATTGTTATAAACGCAATTAAATCCATCGTTCTGCGTCCAGATATAAATAATGACACTATTCTCTAAATCATTTTTTGTCGGCATGCCATTTCGAAGCCAAGTCGGATTTTAATTGGAATTAAAATTTTGAATAAAACATCAGCCATTGTCGGCCCAAAATGCGGAATTGAATTAAGTGGATTTTTTTTGTTGCATGAATTTTATTAACGTGACATTTTCGAGTGCGTCATGGCGTGTTATTATTTATACGTAACAAATTGAATGGAGTCCCTTAGGGATACGAGTGAGGCGCGACGACCGGAAAAATTATATACCGCATCAAAAATAAATTGAGTCACAGTGAGAGATCCACCGAAACGAGGGTGGTGCGGTTTATTTTAGATTTGGCATGGTGTAGTGTGGGGCATCGCGTCTCATGCAAATATAAACAGGGGGGGACCTTCCAGTAATTGCCTGGATAAGTTGGATAATTGGGTTTTTGTCGCCCAAAATATTTATTGCTGATTGTTGTCTGGATGTATTCTTCGCGCCGCTAGAAAATGAATGAGTGTGCCGTGCACAACAAACCGCAATATGTCACCGGCGCGCCGGTTTTTACTCTCGCGAGTTATAACTTAACTGCTTTATGTCAGTTGGACTTTCCGATTAAGTTGTGAAGTAATTAATCGGACTTGCTGACGCATTTTTAACTTTTCGAAGGAAACGGATAAGAGTGAGATAAAATTATAATAAACATGCAGATTTCGAGAGAACTCGACGTTCGCAAAAAAAACTGCCATCTGATACGTGTTCTTTTAGAAAGAACAGTCTTAGTAGACTTGACAGTTAATTTCATCATTTAATTTCATCATTTTTGTTGTTTATTTATTTAGTATTGCTTTGAATGTTGTTGTTTAGTAGTTTATCTTCTTTTAAAATGTAGGTAAATTGCAAATATGAAACTTGTGATTACAAATACAGGCTTTCTATAAATGACTATAGGGTCGAAGTAGGGCATGGAAGCGTGCCGCTTATCACTTTATATGGACTTTACTAAATGCCCAAGGAATCACGACAAATAAAAGAAGCATCTGTGCAACTGGTTGTCTAAATGCTTCATATTTTATTAAAAAATAAAACTAAATCATTACAATAAAAAAAAACAAATTTATTATGGTTAAACATCACAGTAAATGTTGAAAATGTATAGCATTTTCTTCAAGGCACTTGTTCACTTTCTGTTTAATTTTAAAAATGTTCTGTAACACACTTTCGTCAATGCTTTGAATCCATTGTTCAGTTTTGTTGCAACAGGAACTCCAGACTGCTGAAACAATCTTGTCAAAAATGTTTGCGGATTCTGCTCGAGTCGTCTCAAATCATCAACAACTTCCTCAGATACTGAAGGTCTTCCAAGAGACTTCCCTTTATCGACACGGCTCGTTCGAACAAATCTGTTGATAACAACTCTAATGTGAGCCTCTAACGATGTTTCTTGAATTATTAAATCACGGCATTTGACCAGATATTCTTGCTTACAGGCGGTTACAGAA